TTTGAAAACTGTTTTAAGATTTAAAAATGGCAGAGTGCATTTGTGAACTCACTGGTCAATGGGAAACTCATCATGGGCATTAGGGACCCTGGTGACAATGGGTCATGTGCAGATCAGCCGGCACAGTGCTTGTTCAGCAAGCTGATTGGTGACTTCAAGGTTAGCTTGGGATACATGACACCATGACACCATATCTCAAACTAAAAATAAAACAAAAAGCAGCTACAAATATGCCTTATGTTCATTTGTGGGGCAACCACCCAAGGCTCTATTAAAACAAATAAACACAACTTAGGTGACATCTACACACTAGGGTTTGTGTGCCAGCTACTTGCAAGAGTCCAAGTGTCTGGTGTGTGGTCATCAGCATGCGGTGCTCTCAGAAGTGGACTAGTTAGGAAGCGAGGCCTAGTGGAAGGAAGTTACAGATTTGGGGATGCAACCTGGAATGAGACTGTGGGATGCCAGGCTCCTTCCTTTCCTGCCCAACTACCATGAGGTGTGCAGCTTTGTACCAACATGTCCTCCATCATCTTCTGTCTTATATCAGACCCTAAAACAGTGGAGTCAACTGACTGGGGAAACTGCTAAGCCACAGATACATCTTATCTTTACATTGATTCTTCTCACGTATTCTGTCACCGTGAAAAAGCTGACTAAAATTGTACAATATAAAAATGCAGATGCTACCCAAGGAAGAACAACAACAAAAAAGCCCAGTATAGCTTTCTCTTCCTCACACAGGTTTTTATTGGGACATAAAAGAAAACCTACATAAATAGAGAGGCAGGCCACATTTATAGATTGGATTCTCAATAGTATAGAGAAGACAAGGTCCTCCAAATTGACCAACTGGTGCTATGTTTTGTTTTATTTTGTTAGGATCTGATGGGCTGGTTTCTGAAGGAGTCTAAAGGACAGAAGTGATCAGCAGTGTCAGAGCAGACCAGATGAACAGAATTTTGCACTGTAAGGAACAGGGTTTGTGATGCACAGCCACACCCACAGGCTGGCTCCAGTGGTAAACCTGACAGCACCAACTCTAGTTAAAGTGTGAGGCACAGGCAGGCTATGCAATGAGATAAGCAGTCTGCAAAGACAACAACATTCACTCAAGCACACACCTCCCCTCAGCCCCTTCACACAGGCGCCAAAGGGAAACTGCTGCCCAAGAGTCTAACACCTGAAACCTCCCTACACGGTCAACAGGCAAAAGTCAGTGTATTCCAAGAAGAACTTCAAAAGATGCAGGCCCATGCTCAGCACTAAGCCCAAAAGCCCCATCTCCTATATAATTTCACATATTTTAAATAAAAAATTAAAAATTTTAAGATGGATACTTGGGAATAAAACTTGGCAGAAAATTAAGAATGTGTTTCACATGAAAATGAAGATTAGTGACTAGTGCTTGGTGAGGGGGAAGCCATGGGGAGGGACAGGAAGGGCTCTAGGATGCCAGTCACTTGATGTAACCATAACTGCTTGACCCAAGGACATGACTGCAGGATACCGGCCTCATAAGAATGCTTTCGACTCTGTATGTATACTTCATCCCACTTCCTATGTATCATACTTCACAGTGCAAGAAAGCTTTTAAAGATTTCTTTCTATTTTGCATGTATAAATATTATGCTTGCAAGAATATATGTGCACCATGTGTGTGCCTGATACCTGCAGAAGCCAAAAGGGGCATCAGATCCTGCAGAGCAGAAAGTGCTCCTTAGCTGCTATCCAGTTTCACAATGCAAGAAGTTTTAAGGAAGATTTTTAAAGAGATTTTTAGTAGGAAATAAAACAAAACAAAAAACCAAACCAAACAAACGAACAAACAGAACCCCACTGGCAATCTCAAAAAAAAAAAAAAATCAAAGAAGTATGCTATAGAATCCAGACCTATGATCTAACAGTCTGTCAATCAAGATCACTTTACAAAACAAATGTTAAAATCAGCAGGCATGACAGCTTTGAATCTGTGAGGCTGAGGCAGGTCAATCACCATGAGTTGGAGGGTTTCAAAAGAAGAAAAGATAAAGTGAATGTCATGAGAGGTAAAGAAAGGGTGAGGAATGAATGGGTACCATAGGAATACAAAGTTGAACTAGGTCCTGGACAGGAAAAGCAATACCAAGGCATTATCAGGAGAGTTCGTGCCATTTTATTAACGTCTGTATACTAGATAACAGTGTTAGCTGGGCATGGGGGCACCCTCTCATCAGCACTTGGGAGGCAGAATGAGATGGTTCTCCAAGCATCAGAGGCCAGCCTACTCTACACAGCGACTTCCAGGCTTATCAGGGCTACACAGTGGGAAAAAAAAAATGAAATTTAGGCCCTGGCAATGCTGAAGCATGCATGGGCAGCCCGTAGATGGCGGTTCTGTTGAACTGGTACATATTGCGCTTCATGGTCTAAGTTGATGAAGACAACTGACCAGGTCTCTTCCTCAAGAGGACACCAGATCTCATTACAGATGGTACAGATGGTTGCGAGCCACCATGTGGTTGTTGGAAATTGAACTCAGGACCTTTGGAAGAGCAGGTGGTGCTCTTAACTGCAAAACCACCTCTCCAGCTCCCTACACAGTGAAACCCTAACCAAAAAAAAACTAAAATAAATCGGTGACAAATAGTATTGTACCAGCTGCATTTACCATGCATGACAATCACACTGTGTGATTACAGGAGCTACAAAGAAGAGGGTCTGTGTTCTTAGGAAATTGCAAATGAGGCAACGGATGGCAAAGGCGAGGTCTCCAATCTACCCATAGGGTCAGAGAGAAGCATGCAAACTTGAGGAGACAGAGGTCCTGAAGGTTACAGGGCAAAGCGTTGACAATGTGACTGGAGGAACTAAAGTCGAGGGCACAGAATTCTCACTGCTACTCCTGAGGCTCCCCCCACCCCGTCTCTCCCTCCATCCCCACCCCAGTGTGTGTTTAATTTAAAAACCATCTTTTAATGAACTATAAACACAAGCTTTCTACTTAAAATGTAAAGTAAGGAGAGAAAGCAGAAATTCATTTTCACAAACATCAGCGCCATACATAGAGAACCAGGAGACTCCACAGAAAGCAGGGAAGTTAGAATCAGTTAGTATCAACAAAGAAAACAAAGCTTAAAGTCTATTTCATTCTCACATGCCAGCAGCAGCTAGACAGCTCACAGAACGGTGCTACTACAAGGTGCACAGCTACAGTGCTGGGCCTGGGAGAGAGGCAGGAAAAGCCCATGTTCAAGGCCTTCCAGGTTGCACAGCAAGTTTGTCTCAAAAAAGTTTATAAAGGACAAGACCAAACCCAAACACCTAGAATTAAACCTGACAAGAGGCAGGACTCTCCAACAGAAAAATTATGCTCTTTAGCTCTATAATTGTATTAGTGTGTGTGCACAGATACATGTGTGCGTTGTGTATGTGTGTTGCACACACATGTGGACACATATAAAGAGAAAGTAAAGAAAAACTTAAAATACAAATAGAAGAAAGGTCTGGAAGAACTGCACTCTTCAGGGACTGACTGGTGAGTGGAAGCTGCCAACAGGAGCGCTACAGGCTGCGTAGTTGTCCTCCTTCTAGGGACTGCTGAGCCCCTGCAGAGCATGTGTGGGAATGAGACAGCGAGAAAAGCCAAAGCACTCTTGAAGAGTGGTGTGGCGAGTCTCGCTGTGTGATGTCATGCCTTTGATGATCTAGTTAGGGTACTGTAGGGCAGTGACAGGCACTAGTGTTCGTGCGGACGTGTGACACAGAAAACAGTGCTCCACCCCAACACTGTCCAGACAACAGCCACAACTCCGGGTCGACTGGAAACACAAATGCGAAATGTAAAACTTGGGAAAACACCAGCAGAGAACAGCTATGGTTCCACAACAGGCAAACATTTCCTTTAGTTGTTTCCTGAGACAAGTTCTCAAAAGTAGTCCAAACTATCCTTGGACTTGATACTGTTGTGCCTCAGTCTCAAGTACTGAGATGAAACGTGAGCCACCACAGCTACTGCAAACACTGTGTTTACACGACACAAAAGCGCTAACCAGGAAAGATAAAGCAAGCAAGCTGTGAACCACATGGAGATGAAGAATGAGGACCACATTTCCCCGCTTCTAAAATGGGAGGACACTGGGCTCTCCCAGTTCTATGACCTGCAATGTAAGGTGGGGCTCGTGCTTGACCTAGAACGTCATCCTAAGAACAATCAAGCAGACGGTGAGGACAAACTGAGGAGGCCCTTGGCTCTCTTGAGAGTGGTACAACCAGGGAAGGTGAGAGGATAAAAAATGACAGAAGGAGAGGACCAGTATACCAGATAAAGATTCTGGGGCAAAGGCATTCCTCAACAGGTGGGCACAGAGGATGGGAAGTGATAAGGCTAAGGGCAGAGCCAATGGATAGACAGGAAGGACAGGGGTGAAGCTGTGCAGGTTCATGGGTAGTTTGGACAGGGTTAGTTCCTGCTATCTTCAAGAAACCAAAACAAGGTCATCACCGAAAGCAACACAGAATGGACCAGGTCAGTGTTTCTGTGGCGTGACAACAGAGAAAGGCAGGACGGGGTGGCATGGAACTTGGAAGCACACAGTACAGCAATGGTGTGCTACACCCTATTGTACACATGGGACAGAATGCCCTGTGCACCATTTCCATTTCCTCCTTTGCTTAGCTGGCAGATGGTCACAAAAGCAATGAGCAAGGATGGAGCTGCAGCTCAGTGAGAAGGAGCCAGTGCCGGACACATAAGGCTCTAAATTGGATCCCCAGCCCCACCAAAATAACAAGAAAGAAAGAAAGAAAGGAAGGAAGGAAGGAAGGAAGGAAGGAAGGAAGGAAGGAAGGAAGGAAGGAAGGAAGGAAGGAAGGACGAACCAAGTGAGAAAACCTAGTAAGATAGGATTTTGCAGAGACAGAATCAAGGTTTCCTGGAAACAGCAGTAGCCCACCTTACCCATGAGTCCCCGAAGCCTGCCGCAGCAGCAGAAGGCTGGCAGTGTGAGGATGCTGCTTACCGGCTGAAGACATTCTCGCTGAATGCGTGCTTTTCCAAGCGAGTGAGCAGGGGCAGGTTATCGTGGTCAGGGATATCCAAAAGAGCCATGACCCTCCTGTTGTCACAGTCTGGACCACAATCTTCAAATCCATCTAGACAGGAAGAGGAAACACTCTAAAACTGAATCTGTAGGTGCTGCCAACAGTGATGGGTCAGTCACACTGAGGCAGACATGCCCTGTGACTGGGCTGTCCAGTGCAAGCTCCTAGAAGCCATCCACACTGGAGTCAATATAGCTATGGAACTACAAAAGAAGGGTGGTAGGGATCAGTGTCACAGAGAAAACTGGTTTTTATCAACAACTATGGTAACCACTCATCTCTGTGGAGAATATGTACGTCCCCTCCAAAATACTGAAAATGGGCAGCTAAGAAACATTTTTCACCCTGAAGACAAGCATCCAACATCAGGTTTCCTTCACATCACGTCTGCCTAAGGCCTTGGTGAGCAGTCTCACCCATTCACACCCTGGCCTAGCAACACTCAAGAAGGCCCCTCCCTCCAGTTCCCTTAGCCCAACCAGGCTAAGAACTGCACTGAGGGAGCTGAGTTGGGGAATTCCATGACTCCCTACGTAGCTATGTAACTAAAGGACATCACTGAGCCTCTCTGCACTTCTCATCGTCAAGTAAACCTACCTTGTGCCATCAGGATGGTGGCACATGAGTTTTCGCACATAAAGAGCTGTGAGATCTGTCCCCAAGCCCTGTGACCTGGCCAACCCTGACCACAGGTCCCCATCCTTTGATCTGTGATGACCAATGGCTGGCTCTCTTGTCTCCAAGACCTTCGGCAGACACTGTCTCTCATCTCCTTTGTCCTGGGCTTTTCAGTCATGGCATCTCTAGAGGCCTCCCGTGCCCACCACGTCCCATGTCAAAGGTTCCAGTGGTGCCAACCTGGCTGACCTGCCCCAGTTCAGTTCTCTGCACAATGCAGTGAGGTCTTCAGCAACAGGTACTCTCTACACACTCACTCCCAGTTTTCCATGCCCAGCACAATGACTGAGGCGCAGTAGACGGGTTGGTTCTTAACCACATGATGAGCAAATTCATGCTATAGCTATGTATCTCTCTAAGGAAACTTTAAACCACCAAATTAACATAATCTTTCCATAAAAATCTTTCTATAAAACACACACTAAAGACGTATCACTAAGAAACTATTCTAGAATGGTGATAGTAAGAAGAGCTCTTAGGTAGTCATAAAAATAAAAGTAAACTTAATCTAGGGGTTGGGGAGATGGCTTAGTCAGTAAAGTGCTTGCCATCCAAGCATGAGGACCTGAGTTCAATCCCCAAGACCCATTAAAAAAGCCAGGCATGATGAAGTACACTGTAATCTCAATGATAAGGAGACAAAGACAGGTAAATCCCTAGGGCTCAATGGCTAACCAGTGTTGTAGAATATTACTATAACTAAGTAAAGATGTGTTACATTTGTTTATATTGCACTTGTTTAACAAGGCAAAGGTGTTACGTTTGTTTATGCTGCATTTATTTAAGGATACAAAAATGTTATTCTTTGCCTGCCTAAGGCACCTGATTGGTCTAGCCAATAGCTAGGCAGTAGAGGTGAGGCTGGTGGACAGAGAGAATAAGCAGAAGGAGGAATCTAGGCTCAAGAGAAGGGAGGAGAGATCCAGGAAGTAGAGGAGAGAATGAAGGGAGAAAGAGAGGAGATACTGGGGGCAGCCAGGCAGTCATCACCCAACCAGACATGGAAGAAGCAGGAAAGTAGGACACACAGAAAGAAAGAAAGAAAGAAAGAAAGAAAGAAAGAAAGAAAGAAAGAAAGAAAGAAAGAAAGAAAGAAAGAAAGAAAGGTAAAAGGCCATGAGGCAAAACACAGATGAAGAGAAACAAGTTAAATTCAGTTATAAGAGCTAATGGGACAAACATAAGATAAGGCCTAGCATTTATAACTAATAATAAGTCTCCATGTCATGATTTGGGAGATGGTTGGCGGTCCAAATGAAAGCCTGCTACAAATCATTCTATGCTACTTAGCAAGTACTAGGCCAGTGAGAGACCAGGTCTCAAAACAAGGTGGGCAGCTACTGAGGAATGACACCCAAGGCAGACCTCTGGGCTCCAGACTAGTGCATGCACACACTCACGCACAAATAGTTATTTTCTCTTAAGCACCTGTGATGGGCATAAATAGAGAAGAAGTCCTAGTAGGCATGACTCAAGTCTTTACTTTGACTTGGAGACAGGGTATTTGTCACTAGATCCAGTCGTCAGTGAGCTCTGGGGCACTGCATGCATCCCAGCCTTTTAGGTGCTGGGGATCCAAGCTCGGGTCCTTGTGCTTGGGTACTATACTGATCTAGCTCCTTCTCCAGCCCTTCTTAGTCTTTAAATTTTTCTTTACTTTTGGGAATTTCACATTGATATACAAAAATATGACATCTATCCAATTTTCCTCCTTCAACTTCTCTTAAACCCCTCCAACATGCCCTTCTCCTAACTTCTTATCTTTTTAATTAATTAATTTTTTTTTTGATAACCCACGAAGTCCAGCTGATAACTATCAGTATGTGAATGGATGGAGGGCCAACCCTGGAGCATGGGAAACCTACCATATCCAGAAGAAAGATGACTCTTTCCCAGGAATTACTCACTGCCAGTAACTTCCCAAAAGGAGATCATCTACCTCATCTATGCTGAGATGCTGGCTGGCTTGGTCTGCCTTCTCTTTTTTTCCTCTGTTTTCTGAGTCTTAGTGGGGCTGATAAGGACCCACCTAGCAGCCCTCCTTGCTATTGTTCCAGAGATAGGAGTTTATCAGGCACGCACCTGGCTTGTCCCTGCCAGCTGCGGGCTCACACACAGCTGAGCTCACAGCCATCTCTGCTCACGCCAGTTGTCCTCTTCACTTAGGGAACCACTGCACAAACAAACGACACAGGACCGTCAGAAGACGTATGTACCTGCACACAGGATCGGGTCCTTGGAGGATCCGTAATGGTGGACTACCAGAGCCCTGCGACAGTGACTTTTCCTACAGTCAGCCATCTTGTCTCCTTCCTGCTGGAGAAGAGGGAAATCTAAAAGGGTAAGGCAGGAAGGGAAGGACCTGGATTTGAAATCCAATTATCAAGAGGACTCTCACTGTTTCAAAGAAAGCCTGGTAGGTTTGTGTAGAACAAAGAGAAAAAGACACAGTGAAGCCCTTCTGGCCTCCAATCCCCTGCTAAACCTTTTTATTTTGACCAAAAAGAATAAAGATGAAGAAACAAGCAGCCGAGGCCTCCCGGAGGCTAGTTTTGGCAAGAGACTTGCCTCCCTGGCTAGTTCTGGGAAGATCAATGGCACCTGCTCTAGAGGTGCCAATGCCCCCTGCTGTACTGTGCACTGAAAATTAGATGTCTGTGCCAGTTACACTACAGGTGTGAAGAGGCAGAAGAGTCCCACCTGGCAGACAGGAAGCCATGGTCAATTTAGGAATAACTGATAAGAGTTTAAAATAGAGAGAGCAAGCTGTTGCCTAGGTGCTCACTATTCTCTGAAATTCTGGCCACAATTTTCTCAATTCTTTTAGTTATAAACAAGAGTTATTAAAAATTCAAACTGGCTAAGGGGATCTTACTAAAGGACGCTGTGTGCATGTGGACATCTGGGTGTCTTCCTTAGTTGCTCTCCATCTTATTGTTTGAGGCAGGTCTCTTGCTTAAACTGAAATTCACTGATACAACTGAAACAGCTGGGCAGGGATCCTCCTGTTTCTGCCAACAAGGCTCTGGGATGACATGCTTTTATGTGGGTGAGGGGGATCAGATTCAAGTCCTCATGCTTGCTGAACAACCTTAGTTCATCTCCCCAGGCCAAGTTAGTATACATTAGCTTAAGTATAAGTGTGTGTGTGTGTGTGTGTGTGTGTGTGAGAGAGAGAGAGAGAGAGAGAGAGACAGAGAGAGAGAGAGAGAGAGAGAGAGATACAGAGATACAGACAGACAAAGCTAAATAGTTCTACAGGGGTCACGACCAAGTACTTGATCATGACCATAGTACTTGATGTGCAAACCCAAGACCCTGCCAGGGCCCAAAACCTGCAGCCCTCAGTCCACATGAGAGCTTCTGCGGATCCTGGCAGAGAACAAAGAGCTCGTTCCTGAGCTCTGGGGCTTACTCACGGCTTTGGAATTCAGAGAGACTGACCTGCAGATACAAGGAGAACCTCACACGCAAGAGTGGAGGCTTGCACAGGCCCTTGGGACCTACCCTATGCTTCATGGGCAGAGAACTTGCTGTCTTAATGCTCTGCAAGAAACACTTTCATCAGAGAACTAAAGACCTTGGCAATTAGTCCACAGAAGAGCTGTTACTGCAGAATACTAATGACCCCACAACAGAGAAATATAAAACAAAGGAATAAAAGCTATAGGTCATATGGTATTGAAGAATTAACCCTTACTGGTTACCTCCAACAATCCAGGAACTAACCACACAAACTTTGCTGTATTGTTTAAAATGTTTTGATGTTTTTTACATTTTTTTAAATTTTTTTTTAAATTTCAGACTATGTACTGTGATCGTATTTGCCCCCTTCTCCATCCTCATCACTACCTATCCAATTCATGTTTTCTCTGCCTGCCCACCTGCCTTTTAAACGCAGAGCCCAGTTTGTACTGGCTGACCACTCCTGGGAATGGGGTCGGTTATATTATACCAGTGAAAAAACGGTTTTTTCCTCTCCAAGAAGCAATTCCATGCCAAGGGTTCCTCAGCTAGAAGGGTGACGTCACATCCCCTCCCTTCCTTCATGCTAGTATTCTGTCTGGCTTGAGCTTATGCCACCTTGTTGAGTTCCTATGTGCAGTTGTCCTGCTATGCATGGAACCATTTTTTATCTTCCCAATTTCCATGTAGATCTAGAGCCCTGAGGGGAGGGGTATGACAGAGCCGTCCCTTTAGGGTTGGGCATTCTTGAGTCTCTTACTCCCTGCACCTTGACCATGTGGGTCTCTGTGAAAGAAGCAGCTTCTCCACTGAGGGCTGGATGAGGCACTGATCTAGGGTGCATCAATATGTCATTAGCAGTCATTTTATTGTTATGTTCCTTTAGCAGAATGACTGTAGTAAGTTTG